GGTACCTGTTGGGGGCGCTAGCTCCCCACCCCAGCACCTACAGCGAGGGCACTTATTGGGCATCTGTTGTATGCATGGCTTTGAAGGGCAAGGGGTGGGGGAAATCTTGTCAGACAGAGCAAGAGGAAATAAATATGGACACATCCATTAAATAAATAAATATTGAGCATCTACTGTGTGCACCCTTGTGGGCTGGAGATACAATGGTTGTTTTAGGTCGCGTTCCCTGGCAACAGGCTCTAAGAGGGAAATTTGAGTGTAGGTTTATCGGAGTGCCCTTGAGAATATCAGCTGTAGGGGGGTGAAGACAGGCAGGGTTGGTGGGCAGAGGAAGAAGTTAGTTGAACTGATGTAGTCTCAACAGAGGCCTCGGCGTGTTCCAGGGGAAGCTCTGGAACTCAAAAGGACCGGCGGAGATGTTCCCAGTTAGGCAAGGGGGTGGGGCCTTTATACCCCATATGAACTGATCATTGGAACGCTGTTTCCAGGAGAGAGTGGGTCTCCAAGAGAAACTGACAGCTGCAGGCTGAAAACTTTCCTGTGTCCCAGACTCTTCTGGATTCCCTCTCATCTCATTGCAAGCTCCTTCTCAGTCTCTTTTGCTGGATCCTCTTCCTCTTCCTATTCCCAACCTATACATGCTGGTGTGCTCCAAGGCTTTCACTTTTTTCTTTATACTCAATTCTATGGTTTTATTTACTTACTCACTTATTATTGGCGGCTGGCAGGTACAGGGATCCGAACCCCAACCCTTGACCTTGGTGTTCCGATACCGCACTGTAGCACTCTAACCAACAGATTTAACCGGCCAGCCTTCAATTCTATGGTTTTAAATGCCATCTATACATGCTGGTTTTCAAATTTATATCTCCAGCCCCAACCTTATCCGTTAGCTCTAGCATGTAAACTTCCTGAGAGCACTTTGTCGTGTTTGCGACTGTATCTCCAGAGCACAGGATGTTGCTGACACCTAGTTGGCCCTCCAATGTTTGCTGAGAAAAAGCAGCAAACCTGAACAGAAAGGCAATCCTCTCAGCCACCCTTTCTTAACAGACCTGAAAGATATGATGGGTTTTGAAATTGAGTGGAATTCTTTAAGAAATAGCCACACTGACTCTTTTTTTTTGGCATCAGGCAGGTGCGGAGATCCCAACCCTTGACGTTGGTGTTATAACTCTGCGGTCTAACCAATAGAGCTAACCGGCCAGCCCCCACATTCACTCTTATTGACTGCCCATGTTTTGAATAAAAAGATTAACTAAGGCTGACCGTTAGCTCAGTTGGTTATAGTGCAGCCTTCTAATAGCAAGATCATGGGTTAGGATCCCCGCACCACCAGATGCCAAAAAAACAAAACAAAACAAAAAAGCTCTATTTAAAAGAATTTAAAATGGTACAAGTACTTCAGCTGTGCATAGCAAAATAATTGGAATTGAAATTCAGGGAATTCTGTTTTCTAATTTTAAAAAAATGGGAAAACACATTTTGATTGGTTTGACTGTTGCCTTATTTAATCAGGTTATGTATCTAGTCTTTGCCTACTGATTATATGTCTAGTGTATACCTCTAGTATATACCTCTATTATTAAATACCTCAAAAATATGAAGGATGGACTCTGTTTTAGGGAGGAAAAGCTGGAAAATAAATGAATACACAAGAACAACAGGAGGGCAGGCAGGCAAGACTGCAACCATTGCAAGCTGAGTTTGCAAGCAAGCAGCTTACATGTTCCTGGCCAGAGACTACCAAACTCCCTGGAATTCCTCTTAAAAGGGAGTGGATTGGGATTTGCTGAGGGCATGCTGGTATCAAGACTTCGCATATTTTTTTTCCACGGTTAGTCTTCACCAAAGCCCTTTGAGGTAGATGCCAGTACCACCTTCATTTTACATATGAGGAAACCAAGGCTCAGAAAGGGTAAGCTACTTACTCAGAGTCGCAGGTATTCAGTGGGGGAGCTGAGATTTAAACTTGAGTCTGTCTCAAGCCTAGGCCCATGTTCTTTCCTTGAACCTGTGTGCCAGGAGCCATTGTCAAGTATTCCTAACACCTTAAAGAATCCAAGTATCAATCACTGATACAATGCTTTTTATTAACAATTTCAAATTATTGAAATCCAGCACAAATACTTATTGAGCACCTACTCTGTGCCACACTATTCTAAGTTCTGGGGATATAGCAGTGAACGAGATGTAGTCTTTGCATTTCTGTGGGGATGACTGATCAAACAGAAATAAATGAAGACCACTATTGATTACAATGAAGGATGCGATAGAAATAAACATGGTAATGAGATATAGTGGTGGAATGGGGTGAGGGTATGCTGCTTTAAACTGCATGGTCAGGAAAGACCTCTTCTGAGGAGGTAACCACTGAACTGAGGCCTGGGAGATGGGAAGGAGCCAGCCAAGCAGAGAGCTTGGAGAAGAGCATTCCAGGTGGAGGGAACAGCAAGGTCAAAGGCTCTGAGGTGGGAATGTTGGTCAGGCAATAGAAGGAAACCAGTCCATCAGGTGTAGAGAACTGGGGGGAAGAGTGGTGGAGGATGAGGTCAGAGGGGAAGATAGGGGTCAGATTCTGCAGGGTAAAGCACTTTGATTTTATTCTAGGGGCAATGGACAGCCATTGAAGAATTTTAGGTAGGGAAACTATGTGATTTGGTTTACATTTTTAAAGCTTTCTCTTCCTGGAGAATAGACTGTAGCAGAGGAGGATGGGAAGCAGGGAGACAGGCTAGAAGGCAATTTCTTTTCTTTTTTTTTTTTATTTGGTAGCTGGCTGGTACCAGGATCCAAACCCTTGACCTTGGTGTTGTCAGCACCAACGAGGCAATTTCAGAAGTCCAGGGACAGCAGGTGGTAGTTGGGACTAGCATGGAGGCAATGGAGATGGAGAGAAGTGGTCAGAAATTGAAGTGTGTTTTAGAGGTAGCACCAACAAGTCCATTATAATATGTATAAAGCTGTGCTGTCCAACACAGTAGTCATGGCCACTGTTGCTATTTAATTTAATTAAAATAAAATAAAAAATTCAGTTCCTTAGTAAGTCGCATTTCAAATGCTCAGTAGCCATGTGTGGCTACTGGCTACTGTGTTGGACAGCATAGGTATAGAAAATTTCCATTATCACAGAAAATTCTATTGGACAGCGCTGATAAGGAATCTAGAACGGTGGCCAACAGGTTTTAGAAGTTGAGTTACTAGTAGGTATTAAGTATATTTGTCATGTCACTAGGTCTTCTTTCATGTTTACCCAGTTCAACCACCTCCTTATTAAATGCCTCTACTGCCTTTGCTTTATTAAAGCAAAATTATGTACTGACTAGGTTGTCATATACTAACCTCTTTGTTCTTCAGACACATGCATTTGTTCAATAGATGTTTGAGTGTCCACTCTGTGCTTGGGGTTGGAGGGAGTGGTGGACAGGAGCAATAAAGGAATGTGATCAGGAAAGATCCCACCTCCCAGAGAGATGAACCCTGTATAGGTGGAGGAGAACCTGGTACTTGAAGGCCCTGAATCCCCAGAGAAAGGAGGGAGTCATTCTAGTGGTGATGGAGGTGGGAGTGGAGAAAGAGTTGAGTTTGAATTTGGCCTGGGCTATGTCATAAGGACAGTCGGCCAAACAGAACTTTGCCCTGAGTCATGCTCCCTAGAGTCAGTTCTGTACATCAGTTTACAAAGCACCCTCACACATGCCAACATGCCCATCCTTACAGAGACTGGGGGAGGCACAGGGCCTGGCCAGAACCCTCACAGTGACCTGGGTGGAGCCAGGAGTCAGAACTGATGCTGGTCTCCTAAGACATCCTACTCCCCTCAGGGCTGAGGTCTTTCTCTACAGGTTGCTGGCCTGAAGGTGGCCAGCTCCTCCTCAAACAAGCCCTCTCCCTTCCCATCTCCATTGCTTTTGTAGCAAAGGTCCCCTCTTGATCGACCTGGGGACTGTGTTCAGCTTGTAGGCCTACCAGGATGGAGGGGCATGCTGATGTGGAGATGCTGAGGACACTGAAGGGGCCCTCCACAGGGGAGGTCAGCGTGCACCTAGTGGCCAGAGATAGCCCAGGTTCCGGTCCTCACCTGCCCACAACTGCTTTCATCATTCCAGGTGGGTCAAGCCAGGGGTCTGGGGAGGAGGAGCATCCTCATACCAACTCAAGCAGGTGTGGATCCTGGGGAGGAGATAACACTTTCAGTTTCTCACACCTGCCTCCCCTCACCTGCCTCTACACGCATAGCAGGACTGAGGCAGGGCCACCAGGCTCACCTGCGTCGTGTCTGTGTATATGTTCACAGCCAGCTCGGCCACTCTTGGCCTGCCTAGCAGTGCCCTGGATGTGTCCTGCTTTCCCCCGGAGCCAATCCATGTAGGCGCCCCACAACGGGTGGCCATCAGCGAACCAGTCACGGCCACCGTTCTGCCGCAGTTAAGCGGAGGGCCTGTGGCCTGCTCTAGCGCCAGCGCAGTGCGGCTTCTGGAGTGGACGGAGGCCGTGGCCCCACCCCCTGGGAGTGGCCTGCGGGTCAGTGTCTATGGGGATTGGCTAGGCCCACGAGCAGTTGCTGTGGGGCGGGCCTGAGACGGAAGTGGGGAGTGGGGAGCGGGGAAGCTAACTGATATGACGGATCCTGCAGGTGGGACTTCGAGTGAGGGACACTAGGGGAGTGGCTTGGGATGAAGCACTCCAAGGTCCGAGGGGCTCTGGGGGCGGGGCTTGAAGTGAGGCACCCTGGGACCGATGCCTGAGTGTCTGGGGGCGGGGCTTGGGGCGAGGCACTCTGGGATTGGGCCTACAAGCAACTGGGGGCGTAGCTTGGAGTGAGGCTCCCTGGGACTGAGCCGACTGGTGCTTGGGGGCGTGGCGGGAGTGAGGCATCCTGGGACTGGATGGACAAGTGTCTGGGGGCGTGGCTTGGAGTGAGGGGGGGGTCTGGGGGCGTGGCTCCGAGTGAGGCGCCCAGGGGCTGTGTCTGGAAGCCTACTGGGGCATGAGCTGGCATGAGGCGGCAACAGGGTGATCATGCCGACTCCGAGGTGGGTCAAGGACCGGCATATTAGTCGCGGTCCTCAGAACTTCCTGTGCTGCAGTTCCGAATAAGCGAGTACGCGCCACTGAACATGGTGGGAGTGGAGCAGCCACAGAACCCCGAGCAGCGCCGAGAAGGCGTGGCCGAATGCGAAGATGGCGGGGCTCCGGTGGGAGGTGGCGACGTGAGCACCCAACAGCCCGGTAGGAGCCCTGCTCCTGGGACTCTGAGCTGGGACCCTGGGTGGGTGGGGCAAGGCCTGATTTCCCTAAGGAGCCTCGGTCGGGGATGTGGCCCGGGGTTGTCCCTACAGGTGGGCCCAGAGGTTGATCCTGGGGTGGAGAAGGCTGGGAGAGGCTGTCCAGTGTGGCGATGGGACCAAGGTGGAGGCATGGCCTAAGGGGGCGTAGGTGGAGCGTGAGTGTGCTTGTGATGGGGTGGGATGCCTGAGGCCACTTTGGCTCCCACAGAAGACCTCCTCCAGAACCCTCCAGAAGATTCCTCTCGGGATCCCCCAGAGGTTGATAGCACCTGTCAGTGCCAGGCGTGCGGGCCTCAGCAAGGAGCTGGTCCAGATCTTGGTTCCTCCAATGACGGCTGCCCTCAGCTGTTCCAGGAGCGGTAAGGGGGGAGGTGGTCACAGCCCTGCTTTTCTGCCTTTAGCCCCCAAAGCCCCATTCCTGTTCACGGCTTAGGAGAAGGGCTGGGTGGTGCAGGACGAGTGGTTCTTTCTCTAATGCTGCCCCTTGTTCAGGTTGGTCATAGTGGAGAACTCCTCGGGATGCACCAGTACTTCTGAGCTCCTTAAACCCATGAAGAAGAGGAAGCGCAGGGAATACCAGAGCCCATCAGAGGAGGAGTCGGAGCCGGAGGCCATGGTAGGAAGAGGGCAGTTGGGAGGGAAGGAGGAAGCTAGAGCCTATGCGTTAATTCTCCTATTCCTTCTATCAGTCAGGTCATGGGGCTGGACCAGAGAAGGCACCCATAATGACTCACTCACCATATTTTGGGGTCCCTTCCTGAGTCAGTTCCTGTACATGGTTGTAGGGAATAAATAAATCACTCTCCAGAGCTCCCATCTCAGTCTAGTGTCAGGGTTAAGATATATTCACGTGAACCAGCACCCAAGGTAGATGTGCAGGGAAATGGAAAACATCACTGGAGTCTGGTAGCTAGGCCAGAAGCTGAGGAGCACAGGACTCTAGAGCTGCAGAGGCTGGGAGAGAGAGAGCATGAAGATTCTACTGAGCAGGTAAAATCAGCACAGAGCAGGTGTTCCTGTGCTCACTCTCTCTGTCTAGGAATCAGAAGAGTTATAGTAAAGCTAACTAGGGTGTATATGCTCATGTGAGTCTGTGCCCAAGTCATAGGGGCTGTCTGCTGTGGCTGTGTTCCTGTTGGTGGCCTAGAAGAAATCATGCCTGTTTGGGGCAGAACACCATGTGACCAGAGAACCAGGCAGGGGTCAGGGTCAGAGGCTGTGGCATCATCCCAACCCACGATGACAAGAAGCTGGGAACAGGCTTGTCTTCTACAGGAGAAACAGGAAGAAGGAAAGGATCCAGAGGGACAACCCACTGCTAGCACCCCGGAGAGTGAAGAGTGGAACAGCAGCCAGCCTGGTATGGTGGCCTGTGTGTATATATTCGTGTGAGGTGTGTATATACCTTTGGAGGTGTGCATTTACCTTTGGAGGTGTGAGGCTGGGAGTGTGGATTATGGTTGTGATGGTATGCTGTACACATAATATATGCGTGAAAGAGAGAGAGAGACAGACAGTTTCTGGTATGTGCATTAGTACAAAGGTACTTCAGAAGGTTTGTGGAAAGATTTGTATGATCTTTCTTGTGTGTATTATGTTTTTTATTTTTCCACAAAATTTTTAAGTGCCATTGTATATGCATGTTCTTGGGGATTATATTATGTTTATTATCCTCTGTTATCCAGTTATGAGTAGGTTCCCACTGATTGGGAGTTCTTTGCTTAGTATCTGAAGACTTGAGCAGCCTTTCCCGGCACCACATGGCATTGCTTCCCTTTGGTGGTGTAGGTAATCCCACACTTGTCATTAGTCTGACCTTCCTATTTGGGCCCCCATTCTGATTCTTTGATTCTAAGAGAAATGGTGCAGAGGGCCATTCATAGTCAGTTCCAGCCCTCAGGCCTTCTCTACCATCTCCATGTTCCCATGCGACAACTGTCAACTAGAGCTAAGTAGTATTTATCACACTTGTAATCACCCAAACACGGTGTAGCAATGTGTTTAATATTTGTCTTCCTCCCTCAGGCCTTAGACTCCATCACCACAGGGTCTGAGTCTGCTTTATTAATTATTGTATCCTTGGTGCTCAGCAGAGAGCCTGGTGTGGTTCTCAATAAATGTTTTCTCAATAAATGAATGGATGATTTGTATGGTGGTGGTTCCTCTGCTACTATGTCTGGGTTTTGTAAGTCCTTGTCTTTCCTGTCCCAGAGAGAACCAGAAGGGTGAAGTCAGTCCTTAGGACATCATCCTGCCTTGATGGATCCAGTACCAGCTGGAGGAGCCCAATCTGTGTCCATGGCTCAAAACTTTATAGTGCTTCCTCCAACTTCTGCCTGCTACATCCCAACGAAATTTTCACTGCTGTGTTTCACCCAAGGCAGAAACACATCAGAAACCAAAGGCTTAGCTCTCCTTGGTTTATGGCCTCTTAAGACTTATGTGAGGCAAGAGACAGTGTCTAACTACTACTGGCTCAACTGCTCTATCCTAGTTAGGGAAATAGATTCATAAATCAACTTTCTTTTAGCAGGGCCCTGTTGATGAATACAAAGTCATCTTTTGATTCATACCATTCACCATCTCAACTGTGAACATTAGTGTGATATTGGTTTCTGCGTATTCCCCACCCCACCCCCTTTTATTCTTCCCAAGGAAGAAAACTCTATTAGTAGACAGAAGTTTGTATTTATAACTGCAGTGCTTTTCCACTCATTTTCTGCGTCTTCTGACAGAAGAATCTGGGAGTAGGCATGGGGGTGGCAGGATTACTGAGTTTCCTGTGTGTGAGTGTGAGAATCTTTGTTTTACCTACACCCTCTTTGGAAGTTTGATGGCCAGCTATTGGACTCATGTCCCATGGATCTGACATACCTATTGCTAATGGAGTGCTCCAGTAGTTTAAGAGTTAGAAACTTGTTCCTCATGTACACACTCATATATCTCCTTCACCTTCTCAGCAGCCATTTTTTGTGGTCATTTTCTGACATACCATTGCAATAGTCTTTACCATCTATTTAGTTATTAATAGCTATTCTGATATTTCTAACAGTTTCAGTAATCCCCCTTTATACATGGGAGGTACACTCCAAGACCCCCAGTGGATGCCTGATAGCACCAAACGCCATATATATTATGTTTTTTCCTGTACATATGTACCTATGATAAAGGATATATATTGGATGATTCGTATTCCAAGTGGGATGGTGCGAGATTTCATCACGCTACTCAGAATTGAATGCAATTTAAAACTTATGAATTATTTATTTCTGGAATTTTCCATTTATTATTTTTGGACCGCCATTGACTAGGATAAAGAATACCAAAAGGGCCACAGGCTTTGGCAGAGAAGTTATAAGTTTGGTTTTGGACAGGCTGAGCTTGCCAAAGAAAGTGCCAGCCAAGAGCATCTAGTCTAAAGAAGCAGAAATAAGCAAAGGCGCATTTCTGAAAGTAGAATCAGTGTTAGCTAGCCTATATAGTGCCTTCATACAAATTATAAAATGGTGCCTCTTCTGAATGGAGCAGTTAGGAAAAGGCAACCTGTCTTTGCAGTAGACTCAGCCACATTGGTTGGCAAGAAGTCCAGGCTGGATTTCATCTCCGTTCACCTGCTTGGCTGGCGTCTATGCACAGGCACAAATTACACAACCACACACAGGAGCTTTGGGACTTATTTGGGCTTAGGGATGTGCCTAAAGGTGCAGCCCATTGTTCATCTATAAAAAAAGGATGCAGGAAGCCGGAGTTGGCTGGCGGCTTGATCAGGGAAGGAGTCCAATTATTACTGAAAGATTTAGTGGTCAGGCCTCCTTCCAGTGAATTACATTTAATCTCTTTTGTCATCTGTGAAAGGGGTTACTATGAGCCCTTCCTGTCACCTCAAGACAATGTGAGGACTAAAGGAGACCATGTGTATGAAGTCTCTGAGGTATGTCTGTACCCCCAGCAAATGGCACACAGGTGGTCCGCTAAATGGCAAAAGGTATGGTTAAGGTAAAATGAAGTAGTGGTATCATGGTAAACTGTGAAGACTGTATACTTGTTATGTGTTATTACTAGTGAGAGTATCAAAAGAGTACAGGCCCAGAGAGGAAGTGGCAGAGTTGGGGGGTGGTAGGGTAAGAGATGGCAGAGAGAGAGGGTGCTGGTAAGAGGTGTCTGCTGTGGCGTGGGCATCTTAGGGCTTGGCTGTGTCTGAGTGTGGCTAAAGGAAGGTGAACTTAGAACTGAAGTGCCAGGGAGCAGCAGAGGTGCCTGAGATGAGAAATTGGGCAAGTAGTCAGCCCCTTAGCTTGTGTTATGGTTTGAGAAGAGTGAGGCAAAAAGAAGAATCTTATCTAGGGAGGAAGAAATAGGAATTGTGAAGGGCTTGGTAATACTAGGGGTGGTTTGGAAAAAGTAAATGGCTATTATGCAGGATGATGTGGAATCCCAGTGGCAAAACACAGCAAGATGGTGCTAAGCCTGGCATCCTGAAGTCTACTCTCTCTTCTCTTTCCCCCGCTCAGTAAGTACAGATGAAGACTGAGTGGGAGAACTGGAGGGTTTCTTGAGGGAACATAGTAGGTGCTGTGTTCCAAGAGACAATGCAGGTTTCACTCAGGACAAGGGATAGTTGAAGAGATGTGCTCTATATTGGTGTGCCAGCATAGGTCTCTGGGAGTTTGGTGGCTTGGCTGATCAATTGATAAACAAAATACTTGCTTTGGCACAAGTGGGTCAGATTGTTGGGATCTCAAGTTTTGGTACAGTGACTGAGGAATGTAGGCAGCTGCGTGACAGGTGCTTCTCGCCACTTAGGTTCCAACTAAGGAAGAAAGCATCTTTCTGAATGATCCAGGGCAGTAGCCAAGTGAGCCAGAGCAAGGCAGAGCTAGAATCCAAGTCAGACAGACTGAGTGAAAACCCAGGAAGGACCAATAACATGAGTCAAGCACTTTTTATTTCATAAGGATCTCTTACAGCATCTCACTTAATACTCATCACAACCCTCTGTGGTAGATGAAATTATCTGCATTTTACAGATGACAATTGAGGCATGGAAGTTTCTATAAGAAGCTGGAGCTATTTACCCAAGGGATATGAATAGATTGATGTGAGTTGCTACGTCGTCTGTGGCCTTCAGCTGAAGGCAATTCAGGCTGACATGGTCAGCCTACCTTACATGTAGCTGGCTATTCTAACCTTTAAAGGGTGTTTGTCCTCTGTGTTGGAGGCTAGCACTCCATCTCAGGCTAAATCGGAGGTCCAGTAGGGAAATTTGTCTCCCCTTCCTAGGACCCTGAGACTGGGAGGTATGGGCAGGACCTGGCCTGTAGGCCCTGACCATAGTCTATGCATCTGAATGTGTGTGGGTTGTACACAGTGCGTATATGTCTGGGAGGACTGTAGAATTAGCTCATCTACTTGGGGGCACACCGAACACACATAGGTACATTTGTGTGTGTCTTTGTATGTGCTTATAAGTGTTCAGTGGAAGAAGAATCAAAAAAAGGGTTTCTTATTTATTTGCATCCTCTCTCTACCTCTTTCTCTTTCCATGTTTTCCCTCTCATCTCTCTTTTTCCTCTTCTTTCCTTGTGAGCTTAGGTGGCACTTTGATTAAGTCCTCTGGCTCAGGACTTGTCACTCAGCTTTGTCCTGTGTTACATATTTGAAGACAGGGACCCTCTGTGGCTGAGACTTTGTAACCTCAGTTGTTTGCTGTATTGTCCAAAGTACTCCTGCTGACAGTGGCCTGGGGGCAGGAGAGGGATGAGCAGAATTTGGTATAGCTTCACCTGAGACCAAGCCTCAACTTAGGTTTGAACTCCCAGTGTCTGGCACCATCACGCCTGGGTAGGACCAGAGGGTACGTGTGACTACAAACAAAGGTTTGTTTTAGAGGTTAAGATAGTTTGGTCAGGGGAAACTGAGGAAAGGTACATCAGGAGCACTGCGGGAGTCAGCCTGTCTGTCTCCTCTTCACAGCATCAGGTGAGAAGAAGGAAGGCTGGTCGTGGGAGTCCTACCTGGAGGAGCAGAAGGCCATCACTGCCCCGGTCAGCCTCTTCCAGGACGTGAGTTGGACAATTTCCACCTAGGAAGAGCTTGTCTTCCCAGTCCAGGGACTCACTACCAAACTCAGGCTTTCCTGTGTTTTCTGTGTCTGACATTCCTCGATGGACTGGCAGAATAGAAGAGGGAGAGACTGTTAGGGCCCAGAGTAGAAAAGGGCCCACCATAAGGACTGTCCAGGGTGGGAAGAAATTGGGGGATGGAACCCTATTTCTGGGCTCACCCATCACTGGGCCTACAGACTTGAATTCTGGTACCTTGTACTCAATTTAGCACTGATCTTTCCGTGACTTGGACAAGTGGGGGCCCTTCAGTCCAGCCCCGACTCACCCCACATTTTTCAAGGGACCTAGGAGCTGTTCTGTCCCACTCTGGATCCCTGCAGTAACAATCCCCAAATAAGTTGCCCCTTTGGTAGTAGCAGGCGGTGGGGCCTAAAGGCAGCTCCTTCACCCCAAGCCCACCAGGCAAGGATAAGGCTGGATGGAAGCTGGGTCCTCTCCACTCTGTGCGTTGACAGTCCCAAGCAGTCACTCATAACAAGAATGGCTTCAAAGTGGGCATGAAGTTGGAAGGCATTGACCCTCAACACCCGTCCATGTACTTCATCCTCACTGTGGCTGAGGTGAGCTGGGGCTTGGTTCCACCCTTCTGATGGTATCTCTCAGTGCTAGGGGTGTGGAGGGGACACTGCCCTCAGAAAGCACACAGTCTAGTAGGGGATGCAGCTGGAACACGCAGAAAGCTACAAAAAAGAACAAAAACCAGATGAAGTGTTAGGGGACTGTGATGTTACTGAATGATATATATTGTCTGTGTTGGGGGCGCTTGAGGAGAAGACATCCCAAGGGCCAGGGACGCTGGCATGAGTCAAACAAGGTCTTTGTCCTCTAGGACGCCCCAGCTGTGTAGAGAATCAGCCAGATAAATGTATCAGTGACATGCCACCGGGGTGGTGACAGACATGAGCAGGGAGGCACAGGGAAGGAGTGGTCAGTTCTGCCTGAGGGGGCAGGACAAGCACAGAGGAAGGGCCTCCTTGCTGAGTCTTTAAGAGGTGAGCTGTGAATGCCCAGCGAGTTCCTGGCAGAAACAGCAAAGTGAGCAGAGGCTGTGCAGCATGGAACAGGCCTCCACGTTTAAGGAACTGCCCGTAGCTCAGCAAGACCACAGCAGAGTGTGTGAGTGGGGAGCAGAGAGAGAGGGTAGAAGAAGGAAAGGTCATCAGGGGCCCTGAGCAGTCCTGAGCTTTGACAGGTGCCCTCAGAGTCCTGTCCAGGGCTCAAAAGGGCAGGAGGATGTCCTAGAGTCCACCTGTCTTAACACCCTGCACTAGGGATTCACAAGTACGTGAATTGCCCTCACTGCAGGGTGGTAGAGCATGGGGCAGAGTTCAGCACGGGGAAACCTGGGAGTGAATAAAGGTGGGGTCAGTGAACTTGCTAGCATTACAGCCCCTGAGACCACCTTGCTGCACCAAGAGAGGTGAGGGATAGGGGGCAGGCCATCGCCTGACATCGGAGTCTCTGTGATTCCCCCCTCGTGGGGCCAGGTGTGTGGCTACCGCCTACGTCTTCACTTTGATGGGTATGCCGAGTGCCATGACTTCTGGGTCAATGCTAACTCCCCTGACATTCACCCCGCTGGCTGGTACGAGAAGACTGGACACAAGCTGCAGCCTCCCAAAGGTAAGGCCTACCTGGGTTGGTCACAGTAAGGCAGTGAGCCCTCAGACCCATCCCTTCTTCCCCAGGGGTCCACCTCTTCTAGCTCTTGTGTTTTTTGACCCTGTACCCTGTTCCAAAGCCAGCCTTTCTTCATCGCATCCTGACTTTGCCCCAGGGCCAAGTTGGCCAGCAGCCTCAGGGCTTCTGTTTTGCCATTGCCCTTTGAGTGCCCACCCAGTTGAGTCCTGCTTTGGCAGGGGGTCCCTGGGCAGTTTCTCGAGGGTTGTGGGGTCCTCAAGCCTGCCTGGTTCTGCTGCTTCAGTGTGGGGTGCCCTCTCCGCCGCCCAGCCTCTGCACGGCGCTCTGTTCATCCCCCCGAGGGGCCTAGGTTACAAGGAGGAGGAGTTCAGCTGGAGCCAGTACCTGCGCAGCACGAGAGCTCAGGCTGCGCCCAAGCACCTGTTTGTGAGCCAGAGCCACGTGAGTGCCCCTGAGCGAGAGTGGACATCGCCCCCTGGGCCAGAGTCGCTGCGGCTGGCCCCAAGTATCCGACTCTGCAGAAGAGAGCTCATCTGCTGGTGCTCTCAGCCATGTTCCGAGCTTTTACATCAGACGGGAGGGGCTCAGCTGGGCAGGGCCCAGGGCCAGAGGCGGGACGCTGGCTGTAGGTTCCCTCACTTCTCACCTCCTTCCTCTCCTCCACACATCCCTTCGGAGCCCCTGGCCCACCACCTGAGTCAGCCTGGGCACTGAGAGGGCGTTGTTCATATGTTCTTGCTTTGGGTTGCTCTGCAAGTTTATGGTATAGGGTCAAAGCCTCTATTCTTTCTCCTTTCTTTCGACCAACATTGAGGCTTTCCCATTCATTCCTGACGCTCACCCCTTGTCCTTGAACAGAAAGTTCAAGGCAGCTGGCAGCTTATCTAGCAGTTAATGTATCTCACATAATCCCAATCAAATACCGTATCAAAGGCCCAGAGTCCCAGTAGGCAGGGGAGTCCACCGTGTGCTTCAGTCAGGGATAGTTGCTCCCCACCCCAGTCCAGCCCCAGAGAACCCACTTGTTGGTTCTCAGGTGACTGGTAGGGTCCTACCTACTGTTTTGAGAAGGAATGCAGATTTTTAAAGTCAAACTGCTTAAATCTTGGCCCTGCCATTGACTAGCATTGTGTTCGGTTATGTTATTTACCTTCTAAAATGTGAGTAATAATACCTATCTCATAGGGCTGTTGTAAAGATCAAGGGAGGTCGTGTTGTCTGAAGCTTGCCTGGTACATGGCAGCTGCTCAGTTAATAGTGATTCCCTCGCCGCTCCCTACCATATGTGCCAGCTCTTTCTTCCCCACCAGCCCCTTATTGCCCCAGCCGCCTCAGGTCAAGCTAGACCAGGCATGTCCGGGTAGGGGACACTTATACACAGCCTGCCAGGTTCTTTGGGTGAATGCCTTCTACCAATCACTTACCTTCTGCCATAAGTCATGCCTCCTCTGAGTGCGCCTTGGAGGCCAGAAGTTTGTGAGTGGCCCAGAGCTCAGGTTATGATTCTGCCCTGGAGGAACACTCTTTTCCAGCCTATTTCTCCCTCCCTCCTCCCTTCCTAACCCCCAGGCAGTCCTCATAGAGAACCTACTCCTTTATTTGCTGGTAAGCTGTGGGCTAGTGCTAGCCACCCTGGCCCTGGCCGTGGCAGCCCCTCTTTTCCAGCCTATTTCTCCCTCCCTTCTCCCTTCCTAACCCCCAGGCAGTCCTCATAGAGAACCTACCCCTTTATTTGCTGGTAAGCTGTGGGCTAGTGCTAGCCACCCTGGCCCTGGCCGTGGCAGCCCCTCTTCTTTCCCCTAGAGTCCCCCACCCCTGGGCTTCCAGGTGGGCATGAAGCTGGAGGCTGTCGACCGCATGAACCCATCCCTAGTCTGCGTGGCCAGTGTGACCGACGTGGTGGACAGCCGCTTCCTGGTGCACTTTGACAACTGGGATGATACTTATGACTACTGGTAGTAGGAGGGCCCAGACTTGGCCTGGGGGGTGAGGGGATGGCAGGGGGCAACTACTTTCATATTTCAGGCACCATGTGGTCCTGCTCAGTCCATTCCTAACATTCAGATCTTGCTCAGGTGGGGGATAGCTGACTGTCCTGTGGATTTGAGCTGCATCATAAGAAACACAGCTCAGTATTAAATGTTTTATCTAAAAATACCATGGTTAAGATGAACAAACCCCTGTGACTCATGGTTTTCCTTTAGATATTACGGAGGTGGTAGAGTTTTTAGTTAATGTTGCAGTTTTCTGATTTTGTCTTCAGTCATCTCTCTCCCCCTTACTAAGAAGTAGGAGGAGGATGGGCCCAGAAGCCATGCTGTCAGAGGACGGCAGGCTCAGGGCCTCACATTTCTTTTGGGACAATGACATATTCTTGGGTTTCAGGTGTGATCCCAGCAGCCCCTACATCCACCCAGTGGGCTGGTGCCAGAAGCAAGGAAAGCCTCTCACCCCTCCACAAGGTGACCCTGCAGCCGGAGCCAGCACCCTGCTCCAGGCCTGGCTCCACCTCCCTCTCTCCTGATCCCTTACCAGTGCCTCATTAGCTGGCTCTTTAGGGTCAGGGTGAGGAGGTACATCTGTCCTAGAGCTTCAGCTTCTTGGTCTTGGAGTTGTGAACTGAACCGAACCCTTTGATGTTAGGAGAGTCCTGTCAAACCCTGACTCCATTGAGATTTAGGGGAAGAAAGCTAGATGACCATCACAGCAAGGGAGCAGGGAGTCCGGAGCAAAGGAAATGTGTCCTTTGTCCTGGGAGTAGTACACTGGCCCAAGTAGAATCAAGGTTCAGATGGGGCTGGAGTGAGAGCAACAAGGCCAAGGGTGCTGGGAGCCAGGGTCCCCACCAGCTCTGTGAACTGTTGGGGTGGTGCTGCACTCCTTCTCAAACCCAGCTGCCTCAGGAACCTGGCGCAAGGAGCTTGCTGTGGCGATGGGGGGAGATTCTGCTCTGAGAGCCTCTACCTCTTCTGTGTGTCTGGTCCTGCGTAGGAGCAGAGTGTCCTCCCAGTACACCTGGGTGACTAGACATTGCTCTCACCCTCTCCTCCAGATTACCCAGACTCTGATAGCTTTTGTTGGGAGAAATATCTGGAAGAAACTGGGGCCTCTGCTGTGCCAGCGTGGGCCTTCAAGGTGGTGAGTCGGTGCCCCCTGCCTCCTCCCCCCAGAGCTGAGCTCAGGAAGGCATGGAGCACTCAGCCAGCCAGGATGGGGCCCCGGCCCCCCGCTTTGGGCAGACCACAATTTCCCCAGGCACAGCACTCGGGCTCTTTCCTTGGGGCCTCAGTTCTGCTGAGCTGGGCCTTGGCCTGAAGGCAACTGTCCTCCTGCAGAGACCCCCTCACAGCTTCCTGGTCAACATGAAGCTGGAGGCTGTGGACCGCAGGAACCCAGCCCTGATTCGTGTGGCCAGCGTGGAGGATGTGGAGGACCATCGGATAAAGGTGGCTTCAGGACCCCAGGGCGGGGGGTGTGGACAGGCCAGTTGGGCAGGAATTGTGTAGATTGCTTAGAGCTCAAGGTCACAGCGTAAGACAGATGAGGCTGAGGATTTTAGATCTCATTCTCCCCTCAACTGTGACCAACTTTTGTAGGTTTGGAAAAGTCATTTCCCCTCTCTGAGCCTTAACCTTCTCATCTGTAAAATGGGCCTAATAATCGTCCCACCCAAGGATTGATGGGAGATGTCAGTAACTTAAGAAGAAAAGCCCTTGGAAAATCTGGTGGCCAAGACCAAGTATTGTGGGGTTGGCCCCTTGGTTCTTCCAATCCAGGATCTTGCTTCTGACAGGCCCCAGGGATGGGGAGAGCCTCCTGGAGCCTGGAGGACCTCCCTGCTGAGCTGGGCTCCATGAGGGACATCTGACCTCCAAGGGCTTTCCTCCCCAGCTCCACTTTGATGGCTGGAGTCATGGCTATGATTTCTGGATCGACGCCGACCACCCAGACATCCATCCTGCAGGCTGGTGCTCCAGGACGGGACATGCCCTGCAGCCTCCTCTCCGTGTGTAGCCCTAGAGCACTCTGACCCTTTCCCTTCCCCCCAAACTCTGAAAACCCTCCTTTCCTGTATGTAGCTTGTCCAGGGGGCTCTGACCCCCATGCCCAGGCATGACACAGATGGCTCTGGTGCCCACAATGAGCTCCAGGATCTTCCCAGGACTGTCTGCTACACTAAGCAGTGCTTTTGGCTCCCCCACTTGTTTGGGGTATCATGTGCAGAGGCAAGCTCATCTGGTCACATGTGTTTAGGAGGTAGTTACACACCCAGGGGTCCTCTCCGTGTCTAGCAGAGCCATGCCGAGTGTACCTTGTGTTTGCTAAGGAAATCATCCCACTTAAGCAAAATTCTGGTCCTTCAGACAGATAGGGGTTAGAGTTGAGGTCATTGGAGTGTTCAGTCCATTCTCACCCTCAGAATACCCCTTCTTGAATGTTCTCCTCCAAACGTGGGCAGAGTCTAAAAGCATGACCAAAGTCTTGAGAATGAAAATGGGGAAGAGAACTGAGAATAACATGAATCTGCCTGATGTGGCTTCTCAGGTACAGCTGTGCCCACACCAGCTCTTTGTCGATCTTCTTCCTGAGGGTTCTCCCCTCAGACTGAGGGCATGGCCTGTGGGTTTTAACAAAGTATGACAGCCAACCCCTCTTCCCCAGAGACGGGCAAAAAATGATGTCACAGCCTAGCTCAGGGCCCCATTTCTGGGGAACTAGCTCCCAGTGCTGGCCTCCCCATGGAAATTGCCCTGACCTTCACTCCCCAGCCCCGGCTCCGTGCCAACTCTTCTCCCTGCTCTTCCAGGACCCAGAGAGGCCAGCTCTGCCTCCCCTGGGGGCTGTCCCCCTCTAAGCTATAGGAGCCTGGCTCACACCAGGACCTCCAAATACAGCTTTCACCACCGGTGAGTGGAGGGCTCCTGCTGAGAGGCCCTGAGGCGTTGTTCAGGGAAGGGTCTGTTTTATACCTATTGCGTACAGCCGATCAGGGCTCACCAGGATATTCTCTGAATGGGGCACAGGGTGTGGAGGGCTCAGTAAGGACAAGTAGACTCAGCCCAACTTACGCCCTCTTCTTCCGCAGGAAGTGCCCCACTCCTGGTTGTGACGGCTCTGGCCACGTCACAGGCAAGTTCACAGCGCACCATTGCCTCTCAGGCTGCCCACTGGCTGAGAGGAACCAGAGCCGGCTGAAAGCTGAGCTGTCCGACACAGAGGCCTCAGCCCGCAAGAAGAACCTCTCGGGCCTCTCCCCGAGGAAGAAGCCACGCCATCACGGCCGGTGCGGAGGCCAGGGAGTCAGGGCATGGGCTTCCTGGGTGTGGGGCCCTATGTCTGCTGGGGCCAGGCTAGGCACTCATTTCCTGCAACGGACCTGGTCCCTCTCTCTCCAGGATTGGACGCCCTCCAAAGTATCGGAAGAGTCCACAGGAAGATTTCCAGAGTAAGTCTGGGTCATCCACTCCTGTGTCCTCCACAAGGTGTTCACAGTGAGTGCTCTCAGGCTCCAGGGTTGCCCAGAGTGGGAGAAGCTAGAAAGAAGTCTGCCTCTTCATTTGAGATACTTTGGGAGCCTAGAGTAGTAGGAAGAGCATGGGGAGGGGCCTCAAGTGGCCTTGGGTTCTAGTCTCATTTCCCTCTGGCCTTGCTGAGAGTCTGCGGGAAAGGCACAGAGCCTCTCTGGGCCCCTAGCTCTCCCCTGTGAGGCATGATGATGATCCTGGCTCTGCTGTCCTCTGGTTCTAGGCTTCCTGGGAAGGTGGCCATGGCTGTCACTTTCCACCTGTGTGACCCTGAGCAAGTCACATAGCATCTGTGAGCCTCAGTTTCTTCACTTGAAAACATGGATAAAACCTGCCTTCCAAATGTCAAGACCTGAAATAATAGTTGTTCCTACTACTGTTTAATGAGCACCTGCTGTGGGCCAGGCACTGTGCCAGGTGCTTTACATTTACTGTCTCTAAATGTCACAAGCATCCTATGCTATGGCTATTGCTCTCTCCTGAGAGAGGAGGAATGTGAGGCTCAGGGGTTGAAGTCATTTACCCAAGGCCATTCACCTTGTAAGGGACAGAGTTGGGATTCAAACTTGGATCTGATCTGATTTCTCCTGCTACCTACCGCTGGTGTAATAGACCTAGCCCAAGTGTCAGTTCACTTCTCAACCCCATTGTGTTAGTTTGCTCAGGCTGCCATAACAAAATACCCCAGACTGGGGGGCTTAAACAACAGAAAATTATTTTTCACAGTCTTGGAGGCTATAAATTCAAGGTGAAGGTATTGGCAGTTTGGTTTCTTCTGAGGCCTCTCCCCTTGGCTTATAGATAGCCAGCTTATCGCTGTGTCCTGACATGGTCTTCTGTGCATGGGCATCCCTGCGTTCTCATTGTGTGTCCAAATTTCCTCTTCTTAAAAGGACACCAGTCAGATTAGATTAGGGCCCATACTTATGACCTCAATTTAACTTAATCACCTCTTTAAGAGCCCTATCTCCAAATACAGTTCCATTCTTTTTTTTTTTTTAAAAAGATGACGGGTAAGGGGATCTATCTTAACCCTTGTCTTGGTGTTGTCAGCACCACACTCAGCCAGTGAGTGAACCAGCCATCCAAAAAGATGACGGGTAAGGGGATCTATCTTAACCCTTGTCTTGGTGATGTCAGCACCACGCTCAGCCAGTGAGTGAACCAGCCATCCCTATATAGGATCCGAACCCGTGGCCTTGGTGTTATCAGCACCACACTCTCCCGAGTGAGCCACAGGCCGGCCCAAATACAGTTCCATTCTGAGGGTTTGGGCCTTCAACATAAGAATTTGGCAGGGGACACAATTTAGTCCATAACATGCTCCACAGGAAGGAACAGTGACTGCGTCCTCCACTGGGTGGAAATACAGTTCCATTCTGAGGGTTTGGGCCTTCAACATAAGAATTTGGCAGGGGGCACAATTTAGTCCATAACATGCTCCACAGGAAGGAACAGTGACTGCGTCCTCCACTGGGTGGCGAATTCATCTCACATCTTCAGCCACTGGTACAGGGCCTGATACATAGCAGGGACACTGACAATCTTGCTTCAGTTAAGTTGAATGCACATCGTTTTAAGGCTAGAAGAGACCTTGAGAAATCACCTGGTTTGTTACGTCTTGGGCAGGACCCAAGCTGTTGCAGGTCTTTGGGAACAGTCTCTGTAACCTGGGAAGTATGTAACATAGTGATTAAAAGCACAGCCCTGAAGTCAGAGTAACTTTTACAGACAGTGAGACCTGGGGCAGGTGACACCACCTCTCTGAGCCTCAGCTTCCTCATCTGCATCACCTCGTGATGTGATGAAAGGCTTAAATGAGATGATCCACACAAAGTTCTTAGCACAGCTACCTGCTCGTATCGTTAGTCTGAATCATCTGCCTAACTCTCTCTGGATGCTTTTCCATACTGTTTCCTTTTCATGGAAGCAGAAGCAATTCCTGCAGCCCCAGGCCTAAGTGATGGTGGTCTTGGTTGTCCTCCAGGCCCTCAGAGTGAGGACTTTCAAGGATCAAACTGCAGTGGGCCCCTCTTCTACCAGCATGTGGTATACCTGGCCAGTTTCCACTGCAGGACCAAGTTATGACCACCAGGGGGCACTTGCCTCCTGTGTTCATTCCAGAATTGTGCCAGAGAATTCTTGGGAAGTTGAGTCTTTCAACAGGCTGAGACAGTGGCCCAGAGGGGGTGAGGATGGACTTACCTAAAGCCTTGAGGCACTTTAGGAACAGAGCAGGGGACAGAGCCTAGGGCTCTCCTGCTCTACAGCTGGCCTCTTGCACAAAAGGGACACTGGTCACTCAAGGTTTTGTTCTGGAGGAGACTTTGCACACATCTGGGACAGACCTCCTCAGTGTAAGCTTTGAGGCTTGCTGGTGAACAGCTCCATAGGGAGGACTGCCTAGTGAGGATAGGACTGGATTTGGCTGTGCTTAGTCATTAGGCCCCAGGAGTGGCAGCTACTTGAAAGAACCAGAGGAGCTGTTTGTCACCTGCAGCTAGATGGTTTACAGTTAGATAAGATGCTGTAACTGCCTGTGAAAGCACCTGTCCTATGCTCTGGGGAAGGAAAAGAAGAAGGGAAGCTCCCTACAGACCTGGTGTTGTCCCTAGAGCCCACCCAAGGGTACAAGGAGGACCAGATACAGGGCTTCAAAGAGGGAGCACCTGGTAGACAGGAGGCCAAACCTGTAGCCCGGTAGATGAGGTCACAGGTAAATGAGTGCACTGCAGCTTAAGAAGGGAAGCTCCCTACAGACCTGGTGTTGTCCCTAGAGCCCACCCAAGGGTACGAGGAGGACCAGATACAGGGCTTCAAAGAGGGAGCACCTGGTGGACAGGAGGCCAAACCTGTAGCCCGGTAGATGAGGTCACAGGTAAATGAGTGCACTGCAGCTGGCTGAGCCATGCTGAGGAAGTGCTCCTCGGTGAAACTGAAATGGGCTATTCGGGGTGTGGGCAGGTGCTCAGGCTTGGGCTGATGAGCAGTGGGGGCAGCAGGGAGGCAGAGTCACAGCGGAAGAGTGGTCAGTGGGGCCGGGATGGAGTTACAGAGGATACTGTGAGGTGCAGCAGAGTCAGGGTGAAAGGCTGAGGCTGTGCAGGAAAAAGCCAGGACGGTCTGTGATGAGCAGGGCAGGGTCTTTGAGAAGAGGGCACCAGAGGTGCTGGAATCACTAGCATCTGAAATTAGCACCAAGCAAGTAAGAAGGAAGCAGCCCCATGGGAGAGTGGCCACATTGCCCAAGGCCACCTAAGGCTGGCAGAAGTGGGCAGGTCCAGGTTTGTCTGAACAGCCAGTCGTGGATGGAGTTCAAGGGGGTGAGCGCCACACCTGGCCGAGCAGAGCCGTAGTGGCTGTCACATCCATAGAACCAATCCGAGGCTAGAGGTCAGGAACCAGGATTCCAGGAACACATCAGGAAGCAGAGACAGGCAATGTGGACTTGGGGAGTGGGTCAGGGATTACCCTCTAGTGCCGGAAGAGGCAGGGGCTGGTGTGCAGGTCCCAAGCCAGACTGGGCTGGTGGCTTAGGGGAGAGGAACTGCCATGCTCGAGGCATGGGTTTCAGACTGGACAGGACAGTTGTGACAATGAGACAGAATAACCCCATTGCAGAGAGTTGGTCAGGGCCCAAAAGGACTTGGGAAAAGAAGGGCAAACAGAATGGACTTGTGGCATCAGGGCTGAGCTTGTTTGGATGCTGGGGACCATTTCGATTGAAGGTATCTGGAGAATGGTGTCTTTAGAGATGCTGCAGCAGGTCCAAGAGTGCGTCCTTGTAGGGCCCAGAGTGATGCAGCCTCAGAAAGATTGGTTGGGAGGGTCCTTTCAAATAGCTGACCTGAGGGACCCACTATAGCAGAAGGAGCGAGTGCCACATGAGCAGTTGGGAGATACGGATCACCCTGTTGGCTCTACGGGCTGTTGGTCCTGTCTGCCTTGCCAGCCAGGCTCCTGAGTGATGTGGGTTTGGGCAGGCTTTGGGGACCAGATTAGGCCTCCCTCAGCCTGCCAGCCCTTGCCTCTGCTTTCCAGCCCTCACTCCCAACGCCGTGCACCAGTCCCTCTTCATGTCCGCCCTGTCAGCCCACCCTGACCGCTCGCTCTCATTGTGCTGGGAGCAGCACTGCAAGCTCCTGCCAGGAGTGGCTGGCATCTCGGCCTCGATGGTTGCCAAGTGGACTATCGATGAGGTGAGGAGCAAGGGGCCCTTCCTCATCTTTCTCCTCTTCCTCCTCCTGTGGGCAGGAGGGCTCAAGATGGGCCCTGGTCAGGTAGAGTCTTATACTACCTTCTGCTCGTCCCTCCTGTTCACAGTCCCTTCTAGCTGCCCAGTGGGGGCTGACTGAGACACTGTCCTTTAGGCCTGTCATGGCAGATGGGGATGGGACTGTTGAGCAAAGAGACACAGGCTTCAGCCCTCGGCCTCCAGAGCAAGGGCCTCAGCTTGCACACCTGCCAGCATAGAGACAGAATCTTCCTAGGCTGATGAGAAAAAGCATCACTGGCACAGCCTAGAAGTCTCCAAGACCAAGGAGCCAGCCCTCCCCTGCACTCCAAGCCCCATCCCCTTGTCATTATGGCTTCTTTGGTTCCCAAGGTCTTCGGCTTCGTTCAGACCCTGACAGGTTGTGAGGACCAAGCACGCCTCTTCAAAGACGAGGTAAGGTGCAAGCACAGAGTGGGAGACAGAGATGGGGTCACTGTGTCCTTGAGACGGCAGGAAGCAGGTGCCCTCACCAGCACTGCCCCAACTAGGGAGGGGCCTCTGTTGCCCCACCTGGGTGAGACTAGTCATAGTGACCCATGTCTCTGGGAAAAGTCTGTCATGGACTGTGGTCCAGCTTGAAGACCCTGTGCATATTCAGATCATCTTCAGGAAGGAAAAAGCATCCTGGAGACAGGATTCCATTCACTCCTCTTTTCTCTGCCCAGTCTTTTGCTTGCCAAGCTTAGCTGCACCAGCGATGGTCAATAAGTTAAAACATAATTTGGATGGCACATATTTTGCTTACTGCAAAGATCCTCACACACACTTTAAATCAAGACCCAAGAGCTTAACAAAGATAAGAAGCAGTGATTGTAGATCAAAGAATGTCAGCTTTGGAGACAACCTGGGTTTGAATCCCAGTTTTGCCAGTTTGAGCTGTCTACTGTCTCTGAACCTGCATCTTCTTGTCTGTTAAATGGAGATAAAGTGAGTATAATGAAGTCTACCTTGCAAGGCCATTGTGAGCACCAGAAATGGCAAATGAATCATTATACCAGAATGTCTAGTATAATTGTATCACCAGTATATATGTTTATATTATATAGCAGTGTTATAGAGTAGTATAGAAATCGTATCACTGTACCAGAATGCCTGATACAGTGGGGGCTCAGTAAATGGTTGTTCTGACTTTTAATACGTAGTTGTCTGTAAATAAAGAACTCTGTCGTGACCCTTCTAATTTATAGAGTTTGAAACTGGAAAGAACCCTGGTTTCTTTAGGGCTTCCTAAACAAACATCCCTCCTGTGCATCCTTCTTCACCCAGGAGAATGTGGTCTCAGCTGCCCACAGCTGCCCACTCCAGGTCAGGTGCCCATAACAAAGAAGTTGGCTCTTCTTTCCCTGGAAGAATGTCTTTTCCCATGCCCAACAGACCCAGTTTCTTCATCTGATCCTTCCAAACTCCTGCCCATTCAAGGTGCTTTTGTTGACTTCTGGAGTGGTGATCTTCTTTTCTTCATGGGTGTGTCCAAACAGGGAGCTGCTCATTCCGTTTCTGATGCCCTCTGACCAACAGAACATATTGGCTGCTGCTCCCCTAGATGTTTTTAAGATAAAATATATGTACAGTGAAATGCACACATCTTAAAGTACAATTCCACATTTATGAAATGTATGCACCTGAACCGAACACTTCATTCAAGATATAAAACATTTCCATCATACCAAAATGAGACAACAGGAAGCAGGTGCCCTCTCCTCTTGGCCCCATTTAGTCAGTCCCCACCCCAATAGAAAATCACGGTTCTAATTTCTAACAACATAAATTCAAGAATTCTAGAACAATTGCCTGTTCTTAAACTCATATAAATGGAATCATACAGCTGTACTCTTCTGGGTCTCTCTCTTCTTGTTCAGTGTAACGTCTTTGATGTGTTTCCATGTTGTTTTTTCGTTTTTGTTGCTGAGTAGTGCTCCGTTTTATTTATTTATTCATTTATTTTCGGTGGCTCGCCAGTATGGAGATCTGAATCCATGACCTGGTATATATAAGGTTATGCTCTAAACAACTGAGCTAACCACCCAACCCTCCATTTTATAAACATACCACAGTTCTCCTGTTAATGGACATGCGGGTGGTTTTCTTTTCCGCTAGATTTGAACCTTACATTTTTGTTAGCAAAACTTACGTTTGCACTGTCTTTATTATAGCCACATTGCACCAGTTTGGAGTTCATGAAAGCCCCCAAGTGCTTTTCATATCAACTATAGTCAAACCATATTTTCCAGTGCATACTTGTACCACTGTTTTTTTAATTAACCTAATGTAAACTTTACATCCACCCTATTAAATGTTATCTTGTTGTTTTCATGGCTTATTGTTTTAAATCTTGATTCTGCCATCTATGATATTAATAACCTTTCCAATCTCATACAGCTTGCACATTTGATAACTAAGTCTTCTATGTCTTCTTCCAAGTCTTTACCACACATGTTTAATGAGACAGAACAGAACCATATGGCACCCCATTAGAGATCTTCCTGTAGGTTGACAGCAGGTCATAAATCAACACTCTTTGAGTACAGTTGTTCAGCCAACTGCAGAGCCACCCAAGAATTGATCCTCCAGCCTGTGCTTGGCTTTACATTCCTCTTGATGGGACAAGGGCTGTCTCTCCCAGGAAGATCTGTGACATATCTCGATTCATCATGATTTGTGATACAAAAAGCAATAGCTGGAGCGAGGGAGGTGTGCTGGTGGACCTCAGCATCAGTGTCAGAGTGGAGCAGGACCTTTGTGGGGGCTGAGGATCGCCATTTCCGGGGTCTGATCCATGTTATGACTTTGGTAGGACCATGCTCCAGGGAATAGGCTCTTTCTGGCTTAAGTGATGATTGGGCATTCAGGGACACCAGTCAAAATGCCCTCCATCTGAGAATTGCATCCAGTCATCAGAGAATTGCTTCATGAGTGAAAAATTAGAGCAAAGTGGCTAGATGGTCTTATGGGCAGTCTCCATTGGTAGTCCTAAGGGTGGTCTGTCCAGTGTTCTTTTATTGTAGCCTTTGTGTGTTTGTTGAATTCATCAGCGAATAATTGTTGATGTCTGCTGTGGCCCAGTATAAGGTGATGTAGATACAGAACTAAGTGAGAAGAGGTTCCTGCTCTCAATGTTCCGTGCAGAGTAGGAGAGACAGAATTGTAAGTTGCTGCTTCTGATAAAGTGTGGTAGAGGGGTTTGAGAGAAGCATGTGCTGAGTGTGAAGTAATTATTGCCTTTGGCTCATTTTACCTATTTTCCCGTTGATTTCCTCTACATTCAAAATCAGAACATGACCCTTTTCCTGATTTTAAGGCTCAAAACTCCCCATATACACCAACACACATACAACATCTTTTATATTCTGAGATAATCATATTGTCTCCTTACATAGTCTCAAACTACCAGACCACAAACTCCAGTCTTTGCTTTGAAGAACCTGGAATCTGGGCCTTGGCCATTAGTGTGGGTGAGAAATGTCAGGTGATGCACAGGAACCCATACCAGGGGTTCTCTGAATGAAAATAAATGAACTCCCCTAAGAATCCATACTTAACTCTGCTTGGGTTCCTTTCCTCCATATTCTGAACTTTAAGATGTCAAGGCCATTTATGGATGGTGTCCCCAACTCTTCCTGGACCAGGCTCTATGACTCAGTGGGACCATGGAGAGGGAGCCCCAGAGCCTGACCAGCACGAGGTGTCTGGATCTGGGTGTTTCTGCACAGACACATCTGCCAGCATCAGCAGGGAGAGCTCTGTAGGGCCAAGGGAGTTACCTCCTGGGAAGGCCACTTGCCTGGCAGATCCACTCACAGCTCTCAATATCTTGGGCACTTCACCCCTTCAAGGAAGCACTAGAGAGACAGTGGAACTGCAGACTCTTTGAGATGGGGGGAAATGGACTTATTCACTAGACCCCATCTTAGACCTAGCAGACCCCATTTTACTTGAGGAGGTCATTTTAGGGTGTTTGAAAGAAAGCATAATGCAGATAGTCTGAGCAGGGACTTTTGGCTAGTAGGCTTTTTTTTTTTTTTCCTTTTCTTTCTTTTTTTATGGGGGAAGGTTTTTAGCCATCAGAAGTGCCAGTTTTCAGAGCTTCCTTGGTTAGTGAATAGTGAAGGACCAGGTAACTATTTTCTCAGAGCTGCTGGGGGGACAGATGTGTGGGGCTCATTGTCTGCCACCCCATCTAACCTCTACAGTTGCCAGCCTCTCTGAGATCCTGTCCCGCCCACTGCCATGTCTCAGAGATCCTCTTGTTAATTCTTTCAGGATTTTCTGAGCACCCAGCACATGTCAGATACACAGCCCTCTTGTGCTCCTGGAAGAAAAATGAGCAAACCCATACAGTTCAGTGGGGTGTGTTGAACTATGCGGGGTCTAGGCAAGGCAGAGGAGTGGGCAGTTCTGAGTGGTGGGAAAAGTATTGGGGTTCAGCACACTGACTGCAGGAAGGCCTGCCAGGCAGGGCAGCAGAGGCCCAAGGCAGAAAATGCCCAGAGATTGGGGAAGGGCAGTTCTGAGTGGTGGGAAAAGTATTGGGGTTCAGCACACTGACTGCGGGAAGGCCTGCCAGGCAGGGCAGCAGAGGCCCAAGGCAGAAAATGCCCAGAGATTGGGGAAGGGTCTGTAACTCATTTTGTGGAGCTGGAGGTCAGGAGGGTTTGTATGGAACAGTGGGCAGGGCCAGCCTTCGAGGCGTCACCCACTGAGCTGCTTGAACTGTGTACACAGGAGCCCCTGCCTGGCACTCATGGGGCTCGAAGGCACAGGCCAGCACTTATAAGCCAGGTCTATTTTGGGCAAATTCCTTAGCCTCTCTGTCTCAGTTTCCTCATCTGTAAAATGGGACTAATAATGGTATTGCTTGGTA